CAGGAGGATGCAGCCCATGAATTTGGACATGTCCAGAGTATAATCGCAGCCTTTGCGGTTAGAAAATTGCACTTGATCATGTCGCGATATTATCGCAAATGCGATATATCGTTCAGCCCTAGCAACAAGTTTGATATGGAGTAATGCATGAGTTTGATGAGTCATTCAGACTGTGTGGGTGTATTGACTTAAGAGATAGTCTCAGGTGTACTAAGGTTGAGCAGCTTTTTGGGAAGTGCTGTTCATTGTTGCTGGGCCATGTTTTGTGTGCTACAGTCTACATCTGAATTTGTAATTTGCTAAAATCTCTTTAACCCAATGTAAATGCTGCACGACTGTATGTGGACAGAGATAGGAAAAACAAAACGGTTCACTAATGTATCCATAGACATGTTCTTAACTTTATGTCCATAATGTTTTAATTTATATTTTATTCCAATTTTATCCTTACCAAGTGAAATTAGTTAATGGGAACTATTCTAAACTGACTGGCACATGCCTGCAGTTTACAATTGGCATACGGCGATGCTTTTATTTACATTTGTCTAAAGTGTATTCTGCCACAAAGTGATTCATAATAAGAGAGAGCCACAGAAATAAAGACAGTATTGTTTGAAGTGGCAGCCAGAAAAGAATAGAATAGAATAGAATTCAACTTTATTGTCATTGCACATGTCACAGGTACAGGGCAACGACATGTAGTTTGCATCCATCCAGAAGTGCTTTAGCCATGATATAGATATATTGCAATATATATTAGCAATAATATAGATATGTAAGTACATTACAGAAATGGGTCTATTACGGTATGTAATATGTACACGGTATGAAGTTTGTTATGAATATGCTATAACTATAAGTATGTACAGGCTGTTGTGAGTACAAGCTATGAACAGGATATATATATGAAAAAAACTATACAGAATATGAAATAATGAGCTTTACAGAAATATGAGATATACACTTATACAGAAATGGGAACTATGCAAGTTGTGAACAGTTATAGAATTAAAAATTATCGTATGATTATTTACACAGAACTATACAGTAGTGCAGTTAAGAGGCTATATAAAGTGCTGGTGGTTGTGAGTGGTGGTTCAGTCCATGTTATTATTGTGTGTTTGAGGGTAC